ACAGGAAAGGGAGTTGATATATACCTGGGCAAGACTGATCAAGTCTAGGAGGGGGCAGTGGTTCATACACACGTGCCAGTACAAAGAGTAGCTCACAACCCTGGGTTTAGCAGGCCAATGCTCAAACCACTGAGCTATCCCTCCCCCCAACAACTAGCTCACTTAGTTCATCCAGGAGAGAGGACCTCAAATACCCCAACAACTCTAACACAGTCCCAGCACACAAGCCACAGAAAGAACTGATGTGAGCCATGACATATCCCAAATAGCCAAGTGGACACAATCAGGGTAAGAGTTTGAATGTCTAGAGCATCGTCCATCCAATGATCTCAAAGCATGTCACAAACATTAGCTTGTACCAATAGTCATTAATGAAGTACAATTTGTGAGTGTTAGGCCCATATTTCAGCTATGGAAACTGAGGCACAGAGCGATCATATGACTTGCCAAAGCTCACATAGGACAGCAGAGGCAAAGCCAGGAATAGGACCCAGGTATTCTTACTCCCAGCCCCCACACCTCACCCACAAGACAGGCCACCCACCAAAACCAAACACCCACACACATGCCAGAGAACAAGCCAATATACGTATGTGCAGTGAATAGTCACTACTCCTCCTCTACATTGGTACCCACCAGCACAGACACAACAATGCCGATAACGGCAACTTGCATTTATATAGACACTTTAAGTCAAAACTCACCGAGTGCTCTACTAAGATGAACCCATCCATGCCCCTCTGGATAAAATCTCTCCTATGAGAACACTGACCTCAAAATTGTTCTTCCCAACCCTGGTAACCTTGTGCTTTTCTATAGGTTCAACAAAGCTTCTTCCTGACTAAGTTCTCAGAATGCCTGAGATTCTTCAGATTTCAGCATGGTTGGACAAGACTCACTGGGCCTGAGGCAGAGCCCAGTAATAGGAGATACATCCCCCATCACTAGCTGGAGACTGGGATGGAGGGGTCTTTGGACTCAGTTTCCAACATATTAGATTATGCAAGGTATGGCTAGATAGATAGATCTGGGTTTTCATACCATATTCATCACCATGGTATCGGATACCATTCCACATTTAGAGTGCTATTTAGCAACATTACCTTCCCAACCCAGGGCCACCTGTAGTATTAATTATCTTTGTGAGTATTGATGACCCCAGTGTAAACCCTAAGATCATTAACACCAGACTAATGGTTGATCACCTTGTTTCCCCCTAAAATACCTTGGGCCCAAGTCCCATCCCTCCTCCATACATCAGCCAGGCAGAGATCTCACTGTCTTTGAGTTTCTGTTGACTGGCATGTGTGGAGCACATAAAGCCAGTCTCCTCAGTATTAGAAAATTATTTTATGGATTCCATCTCTTATGTATTTTTATAGTTCTCCTCACTGTAGTACGTGGGCATCTTCCAAACCCCCATGACTCATGAGGTAGGTAAGTATGTTAATTTTCATCTTATAAATGAGGAACCAAGGCACAGATAAATTACTGTAGAACCTCAAAGTTACAAACACCAGAGTTACGAAGTGACCAATCAACCACATGCCTCATTTGGAACTAACTGGAAGTATGCAATCAGGCAGCAGAGACCAAAAAAAAAATCCCACCACAAATACAGTACAACAGTGTTTTAAAGCATAAACTACCAACAAAATAAAGAGAAAGTTTTTAAAAAAGATTTGACAAGGTAGGGAAACTATTTATGTGTTTGTTTCATTTTAAGATGGCTAAAAGCAGCATTTTTCTTCTGCATAGTAAAGTTTCAAAGCTGTATTAAGTCAATGTTCAGTTGTAAACTTTTGAAAGAACAACCATAACGTTTTGTTCTGAGTTATGAACAATTCGGAGTTATCAACAACTTCCATTCCTGACATGTTCGTAACTCTGAGGCTCTACTGTAAGTGACACGCCTGACATCACCTAAGGAGTATGTGGTAGAGGTGAGAATTAAGCCCAGGTCTTCTGAAGCCTAGTGCAATGCCCATAACCACAAGACCATCCGCCTGCAGCTCCCAACTGGCTATCCTACCGTTGATGTCATTCCTGTGACACCAATGCCAAAGTAGCATACCTGGCTCTTTTTTGTTATTATGTACAACATTAATCCTCTTTCATATCGGTAGGAAAGCTCTCCCACCAGATCACCTCTGGAGAGAGGAGAGTCACTGACCTTCAACCTGGTCCCCCACTTCTGAACTCTTGCCTTTCAGCCCAACACAAGCCATTCTATAAACACCTTCTTTCTAGAAATGTGCTGTCCAGAATATTTTGTCCCTTGACACCCCAACATTCCATGTGGTGCTAGAATTCCTGTCTTTACGACCTGACTCAACATCATCACCGATTGAGGCTATGTGACTTAGTTGCAAAGCCTCATGTGAAACTGAGATTCCCTGACTGCCTGTAAGAATGCAGGCCAAAGCCAAGAAGACCATGACCATCCAGAGAATTTCAAAACGGTGGTGACCCTGGCTGGGGCTGGCCCAGGAGATTTTACCCCAGCTGCAGAAACTGAAGGATATGTCCAGGGGATAGCACTCCCTGGTTTTCTGCCAGCACCAGGGACATCCTGTCATCCTGGCCAGCGCTTCTGTTCTTTTGAAAAAGGAAACAAAACCATCAATCACACACTCAATGCAACGGGGACTGCTCCCTGGACAAATGGCACCAACACCTCTCTATATGCGATGGCTGTACCACCTCGACCCCACACAGCCACATGGTCTACAATGGGCCAGGTTCTTGTTAAAGTGAGGCATTGCTCAGGTGTGTCTTTTGTCAGATGATGGTGTGAAGTGCTCTTCTGAGTTAAACTGGCTCTGACCCAGCTGCTAGGATCTACTGGAGCTTTCGAGGATCTAAACAGGCCTCCATGCAGCTGCTACGATTTTTAATGGCTGAAATGGCTCTGATATGGCCATTAAGGTCTTCTGACTGAGCCTAAACTAGTTTTGATGAGACTGCTAAGATCTCGCCTGCCTGAACTGGCTTTGGCATGGCCTCTAAGATCTCCCATGGCATGCTCCGGGGTGCATCCATTCATGGGGAAATGCCAAGCAGGAGAGAGGAATTTAAGCCACTTTTCACCCCTCTCATTTCTACCCTCATCTGATCAGTTTACCTATGTGAAATTAACAGTCTTCTTGTTTTAATCCCATCCTGCAATCCACTCTGTATGACACAAGCTGAACCCAATAACCCACCCAGAACCAGCCCTGCTCTTTGGCAGGTAGATCCCATGCCCCCAGTGCCTGGAGAGGTCTTCTCACCCACCCAGGCTCATCACCACGGGGTGAGGGCCACAGACACAGCCCTGCCTATAGTGCCTTAGCTGTTGGCCAGGGCTGCCAGTCCCCAGGTTTGCACCCTTGTGGAGCTGCTGCCTTGCATGTGGAGGGGGCATATAGGGGGCAATCTGTTTGATGCGGGGCTCGCCCCTCCCTCTCCTCCCGCACCGCGGCCCCTGACATCTCCTCGCCCGTGCCTTCCTGCTGCGCAAACAGGGAGGGGGCGGCGAAGGGAGGCGGGGGGCGGCGGTATTTAAATAGATTAATAATGCATGTTCCATGCAAACGAAGCTTTCCCGGGCTGTTGCATTCGCGCTGCCGGCAGGCTGCACCTCCCCCGGACCCACACCGGCGGGGGCTGCTCAGCGCAGAGCGCCGCGGTGGCCGCATCAGGCCCAGGCGCTTGGGGCCCCGCTCCCCAGCGATCCCACCCCTGCCCCGGGCGTGACACAGCGCGGCGCAGGCCAGCTCCCCCCGGGCATGGGCCCGGCCGCCCACCTCCCAGAGCGACCGGCCCAGAGCCCCGCTCAGCACCCCGGCCTCGCGGGGGAAGGGGTGAAAATTGAACCACGCAGCGCTTCCAAGGCCCAGCCACACGTGCATGCATGTGCTGGGCACTCTCTCCGACCTGCAGCAGCCTGGCACCCGTGGGCACTCACACGTGCACACACAGGAGGACGCATGCACGTCCCGGGGCGCCCATGCCTGCATGCATGCTGACACACATGTGCACGGCGGCCAGCGGCCACACGCGCACACAGGAGCAGACGCGCAGACAGCTCCTCCCGAGCGTGCCGGCTACTGCAGCACCGGCTGATCTCTGCTGCTCGCCGGCCAGCTCCACGGTCTGTCCTGGGATGACAATGGGATGCGTCTGGTCCCTCTTGTTCAGATTCTCCTCCCCTCACCCCATGGTCCAAAGGAGGGGGCTGCTGACACATACAAATGTGGGCACACTTTCTCGGGTGCAATAAACCGGCGCGCGGGCACCCTGCTCCCAGCACACACACACAGGCACCCGGCTCTCTGGGCTGGCCCCTGTGGCGCTGGCCAGCTGCAGGCACACACCACACATTCCCGGGGAGCCTCCTGCAGCCAGTGGAGCCTGACAGCAGAGCACGGGGGAGCCAGGCACAGCAGCCGGGGGCTGACTTTCCCCACCCACCCAAAACATACCCCCGCCACCCACGCACCCCTGCCTCTGCAAAGAATCCCCGCCAAAGTTTGCAAAGCCACAGAGGCTGGAGAAAAAGGTGTGTGTGTGTGGGTGGGGGACTACACAATCTCTCTCTTGCCCCTATAGTTGCCAGCAAAAAATTAAAACCTACCCCTCTTGCTCCCGCAGGGGTTGCAATGGGGAAATCCAGCCGACCCCAGCTGCACGCCGCCGGCTCGGCAGCTATTCACGATCCCCAGGCACACAGAGAGACCACGGGCGTGCAACGCACGGCTCCCTCCCTCTCCTCTTCACGTGTGCTTCATCTGGCCGGCCAGCCCCTCGGAGCCGCTGCTCTTCCTTCACCTGCCTCCCCCCCCCCCCGGCCCCAAAGCAGTGACAGCTTCGAAGAGAGATCGGAAGGGGGAGGGAGAGATGCAGAGGCGGGTTTGATCCTTCTCGCCCTAACCTGGCTGGGAGACACGGGGCGACACGAAGAGCCGGGGAGCCAGCCCCACGGTGCATGCACAGCCGCCGCCGAGCGAGACACGTACCTGCCGCTCCCGCGGGGAGACTCTCAGACCCCTCCTGGCTCCGAGGATCGCTCCTGCAAGGGCTGGCGCTCCCGCCGCGCGCGCGCGCCGGTGTGTGTGTGTGTGTGTGTGTGTGTGCGCGCGGGGGGGGGCCCCCTCCCCCGGCCTCACCCCTTTGCACGGTGGGTTCCCCTCTCCCCCAGCTGCTTCATTGCCCCGAGGCCCAGCGGCCGGGCTCACGACCCCCCGGCCGAGCGGAGACGGAGGCTGAAGCCGGGGCGGGCGGAGACAGGCGGGGGATTGGCCGCCGCTGCAGCTGCATCACGGGGAGCACCAGGCAGAAGGGGCCGTGGTGGCATTTAAACCGCCAGTGATGACTTCGGCCCGGGCTCTGGGGCGAGGCGAGGCTGCTGCTCCCAGCCGGGCAGGCTGTGACAAGCGAAGGTCTGTCTCCCCTGGAGCTAGCGCCCAGGCTGCACCGCCTTGCCCAGCCACAGCTCCGGTGCACACAGGTAAGGGGGTGGGCCTCCGTTAGATATGTTAAAACACACACATGCACCAGCTGCTGGGAGACTACCCCCTCCCCTCACGCGATCGCACACATGCAACAGCTGCTGGGAACGACCCCCTCCCCTCACGCGATCGCACACATGCAACAGCTGCTGGGAACGACCCCCTCCCCTCACGCGATCGCACACATGCAACAGCTGCTGGGAACGACCCCCTCCCCTCACACGATCGCACACATGCAACAGCTGCTGGGAACTGCACCCCTCCCCTCACACGATCGCACACATGCAACAGCTGCTGGGAGACTACCCCCTTCCCTCACACGATCGCACACATGCAACAGCTGCTGGGAACTGCACCCCTCCCCTCACACGATCGCACACATGCAACAGCTGCTGGGCATGCAGCTACATAGCTGCTGAGACACTATCGTTCCCCATACACACAAGCACAACAGCTACAGGGAAATCATCGTATCCCTCACAGAAACAGACACACACAAGTGGTGTAGAAAAATAATGCCTGCCTCCAACCCCCTGCCCTCCCACACCTAGATATATGCAGCAGCAGAAAGGAAGATAGCTCTGTTCCTCACATTCACAAACACCACAGCTGTAGAAAAACTGGCCACTCTCTGAGACACAAACACACACAGACAGACACAACAGCTGCAAAGAAACTCCTCATGTCTTTCGCCCAAACACACACATGCAACAATGGAAGGGAAATGGTCCAAGTCCCTCAAACGCAGCTGCAGAGAAACCGCTCACATCTCCTTCTCCCAACGCACACATGCACACAAAGAACAGCTGGAGTGAAACCAGCAGCTCTGCACAAATATAAACACACATACAACAGCTTCTGGAAAACTACTCATCTCTCTGTCTCTCTCTCTCTCTCACACACACACACACAGAAGCTGATGGGAAACAACTGACATCACACACAAAAATGCAGCAACTCTAGAGAAACTACCCTGTTGATCAAACATATCCGCACAAGCATATGAAACAGCTATGTTATTATTAATTATTACTATTTGTATTGTGATATTACCAAGGCGCCCCAGTCATGGACTCGGAGCCCATTGTGCTAGGCCTGTCTAAACAGAACAATAAGATGGTATAACTACTCCATCTATCAAACACACACACACCACACGCAAGTGTGGGGAACAACTATAGAGAAACTCTCTCCTCTGTTATAATAATAATACTTAGCTCTTTTCAGCTATAGATCGCAAAGTGCTTTGCAAAGGAGGTCAGTATCATTATCCCCATTTTACAGTTAGGGGAAACTGAGGCATAGAGAAGTAAAGTGACTTCCCCGAAGGTAAGCAATTAGGCCAGTGACAGAACTGGGAATATAACCCACATTTTCTACTCCCAGTCCAGTGCTCTATACACTAGGACACACTTCCTCTCTCTCTCACACGCACACACATACACACACACAAAACTATCCACATCCCTCCCAGTGGCACTAATTATGGAGGGCTGGGGGGCGAGGTTTTTACATTTGCTCAGAGTTCCACGGGGTAGAGCCGGGGCGGGGCCAGGGCCCAACCACTTTTAAGAAGTGGTCCAATACTAAATCAGAGCCACTGCTGCCGTAGTGGTTCAGAGCATCACTCCAGCTGTGCGGTTGCAACACTACTGAAATTGGACCCAGCCGCCCCATCTCTCAGACATACACAAACACAGGCAACAAGTGTAGAGAAAATAGCCCCTTCCTTTACTCTCAGATTCAAAGTTGCAGGAAAAGTAGCCCCACCCCTCACATATGCAATAGCTGCAGAAAAGCTGTTTTTTCTCCCATACACAAAACACACAAGTACCCCAGTGCTAGGGAAACCAACTACCTGCACTCCACACACATATTGCATTGGCAGTAGCCTCAAAGAATAATTGTATCTCTCTCTCACACACACACACTCTCTCTCTCTCTCACTCTCTCTCCAGCTTCAGGAAAACTACTTTATCTTGCCCAGCCACAGCTGTAGGAAAACCACCCACAGTGCACACAGACTTGAGAATCCAAGGGACTATGAATGGACAAGATATATTACGCCCCATCTGGTCCATCCCCTGGTCCAGTGCAGAATTCTTCCTTGCAATATATTCTTCACGGCTTTGTCCGCTGCATTTGTAAATGTCCGTGGGGGATTATCCCATGGCTGAATAGACTATACACATTAAGAATGTTTTCCACACCTTCGACCTAAGTCAGCTGTAGAGACAGTCCCTCTCCCAGTTCATCACCCAATAAGCAAGGCCTTCTCCTCTCCCCTGTCCACTGCCACCGTTAGTAACCTAGCCTTCCAGACATCCCTCAGCGCTCAGTTTCGTAAACGTCGCCCTCCACGAAGATCAGTAAGCAGACAAGGGTGTAGGGTCTGGGCCCCATTAAGGCATCTGTATGACACTCTGGAGAAGGGGGGTTGAAGTAGCCCCATAGAGCCCCCTCAGGGTGTTTGGGGAGGGAAGGTGCAAGCCATTCCCAAAGGAGTATGAGGGGAGGAAGTCATTCACCCTATCTCCCCCATCCACACACACACACTTCTTGATCCAGATGTGACCCCATGAGTGGGAAGGGGGTGGGGAGGAAAGTGGCTGTATGCACAGGGTAATCTGCCTTTGGAGCCTGGTGAGTGGTGGCAGGGGAAGGGGTCACATTGAGAGGGATTCTGATCACCATGCCAGCTGAGCTCTCTCCCTCCCTCCCTCCCGCCCTCCGTCTGTCCATCTGTCTCAGTCCCTCATCCCGGGGCTGCATTCCGAGTCCCTGCTCTGCAAGGGAAAGAAGGAGGGACCCATGAGGAGGCCAGGCTCAGCCTCTCGCTGCAGTCAGAATCTCTCCACTGATCTATAATGCGGTGAGCAGTGACAGATTGATTTTACAGCTCTCCTTGGAGCCGGCCGCTGGCCCTGCGCGTGGGATGAATCAGCTTTCTCTGGGCCTTGGCTTTTAGTTCATTATTTTCTCTGAACCTCCCTCGCAGGCAGCTGGAGAGAAAGAGAGAGGGAGAAACACAAAGTTGGCGGAAGGGTTTTTTTTATTGGACGTTCCCGCACTCACAGCGTGGGGCAGGGACTCCAGAAGGTGGGAAAGAAGAGGGAGGGGGAAGGGAAGGGAAGGGAAGGGCCTGTTGTCCATTACACTGGTACCTTGTTCTGCACCTGCTGCCCTGTTCAGAGAAGCCAGGTCCATTTTACATGACTAACTAGTTGCTCCATGTACACTGTTTGGGAGATGGAAAGCACTACATAGGGCTAAGTAGTATTCATGATGATGATGATTATACCAGAGCCTTATTCTGCACTGAATGGAGCCTGGGTCTATTTTAATGTTACCGGTACTGGGTTCTGCAACACAGAGATTGGGTTCATTTGGCATAGTACCAGTACCAACTGCTGCCCTAACAGCCCTGTATATAGAGGCCGGTTCCAATGACATGTTACCGGCACTGGCAGACTGAACGTCGTCCCCTTGGCACGTCTACGGGATTGCTGACTAGCAGGCACTCACAGGTGAGTTGAGTTGGAGAGTTCTCTGCCCTAGAAATCAGCTCCCAGGGGCAGGGGTGGCAGGTTTGTAGAAATTTTGGTGGTGCCCAGAACCCGCCCCTGCCCAAACTCAGCCCCCCACCTGCCCAAGGCTCTGGGAGGGAGTTTGGGTGGGGGAGGAGGTCTGCGGTGTAGGCCCTAGGCTGGGGCAGGGGATTGGGGTGCAGGCTCTGAGAGGGAGTTTGGGGATGGGAGGGGGTGCAGAGGGAGGGGGTGTGGGATGAGGGCTGTGGGGTGTGGCTGCAGATGTGGGGTTTGGGGTATGGGAGGGGCTAAGGGCAAGAGTAGGGGTGTAGGGGGTGAGAGCTCTGTCTGGGGCTGGGAATGAGGGGTTTGGGATATGGGAGGGGCTCAGGGTGAGAGTAGGAGTGTGGGGGTGAGGGCTGTGTCTGGGGGTTTTGGGGGGTTAGAGAGGCTAGGGGCTCAAGCAGAGGGTTGGAGTGCAGGGGGATGAGGGCTATGGCTGGGGCTGGAGATAGGGGTTTGTGGTGTTGGAGGGGGCTCAGGGCTGGGGCAGAGGGTTGTGGTGCGGGGGGATGAGGGCTCTGGCTGAGGCTGGAGATGAGGGATTTGGGATGTTGGAGGGGCTCAGGGCTAGGGTAGAGGGTTGAGGGTGCGGTGGGGGGGTGAAAGCTCTGGCTGGGGGTGTGGGCTCTGGGGTGGGGCAGGACTGGCGATGAGTTTGGGGTGCAGGCAGGCTGCGCTGGGACAGGGGCCAGAGAGGAGGACTCCCCCCAGCCCTTTCCCTGCCGGCACCAGCGAGCTCTGGGGGAGGAGCCCCCCTTTCCCGACCCCCCAGCAGCACACTCACCCCCACCACTGTCACTGCATGTGCTCCTAGGGCCCCTCTCAGGTCCAGGAATCCCCCTCGCCTCCCCTGTGGTGGGTGCCGGGGGTGCTGCGTGCGCCTCCTCCCCTGCTGTTGCCCCTGACTGTAGCCTCACTGGGGTGGGGGATGGGGCTGCCTCCTTGCCCAGCATGGGGCAGGAGTGGTGACTGCGCGCGGAGGGTCCCGCCGGAAAAGGGAAGGGTCTGAGGTGCAAGGGCAGGCTCAGAGTCAGTGTGCCCTGGCAGGGGAGTGGGGGGCACTAGGACCCTGCGGCAGCAGTTGCTGTGGAGAGGCAGCATGGAAGAGGCAGAGGCAGGGACACTCTGCTCCGGGGCCGGGGCGGCGCGCGGGGGGGCTCCCAGAGGCAGGAAGAGGCGGCCGGGGGACACTCGGGGGAGGTGCAGGGGGGGCAGCAGGGGGGGTCACCCGGCCCCAAATATTGGTGGAGCTGGGCCCCTGGGCTCTGAATATTGCTGGTGCTAAGGCACCACGTGGAGATATAACTCGCCGCCCCTGCCCAGGGGTGGGCATGGCACTGCTGGCATTGGCCAAATTACCCTTCGCAATCTGAGCCAGCCGGACTCATCGCTCAGTCCATTGCAAACCCCACTCAAGAGGAGAGTAATAAATCCCACTACCCAGTCTGAAGGGGCAGGATGAGGTCAGGTTTTCAGATGTGTACCCAGGAGCATCGTGTACCTCCAGAGTCGGGAGGGAGCCATCAGGACCCTGCACAGAGCCATGGATTTGTGC